AATGGCCATCCTAGAGTCTCGTTAGTTTATTACAAACCAGATTAAATTAACATTAGAAGCTTTTTATATGAAAAATAACATTGGGTTTCTTCTTTTTTCCAGAGATTGTGACGAGTGTTCAGTTCCTTTTTCCTATCGCGCATTGCTTAATTATCATCACTAACATTGAAAATGGTCTTCACAATTAAATGGTTTCAGCTGATTTATGTAAATTTTATAGAATGTAGAATTTTCTCTAGGATCAACTCAAGTTCTAAAAAAAGAACTATGTTTATAATTATTTTTATAATTATACTAAAGTTTATTGCTAAATATTGTATGATATTGACATATATATATGATGAGTGAATGACGTCCCAGGGCAAAGAAAATCTCCCCTCGGCTTCCTGATATAGTTCAAGCATACATCCAGGTTTACGCTTAGAAAAGTTAAAAAAGTAGATTTGATTAAATTTGTTAGATAAATTATAGTTTTGACTAGAACAGAAACAATCACACAGTATCATTCACAAGTTGGGTAGAGTGGGGGGGGGGGAGTAATATTCTCAGGACGGGTTGGAAGAATCTCAGGACAGGTTGGATAAATCTCAGGACGGGTTGGAAGAATCTCAGGACGGGTTGGAAGAATCTCAGGACGGGTTGGAAGAATCTCAGGACGGGTTGGAAGAATCTCAGGACGGGTTGGATAAATCTCCTCCGGTGAGAAGAGGATCGTCAGGTTTCTTTCTCCTGCGTCAATGATGATTTTTTTCTTTAAGATTAACATTGTCTGCTTAGCTCCACAAGGGTTCTACGGAGTATTTTTGTTGTATATTCTATTTGTCTGACTAGATCTGAAGTCGAAGAATATGTTTCGACATATCCTCTAGTCGACTGTTTGAGGATAACCTGTCGAAGAACGGATGTTTAAGACACTCCGTTAGGGTTATCCTCGCGCTGGGATCGTATTCCAGCATCCTGGAGACCAGGTCGAGCTTGATGCTCTCCTCCTGTCCCTGTAGAGTGGCGGGTCCGCATCTCCGGTACTGATGCAGGGGGCGGCAGTGCTGGGACGCGTACTTAGCTGAGGGTAGGCTCCAGTCCCAGGACAACCTACCGTGCTGGAAGAAAGATGTTTTGGTCTTTCTGATGATGTGGGACGGAAACTCTCCGAGGATTCGTGTCATCATCGCCAAGTGCTCTAAGTTATCATGAGTCTGGAAGAGAGTGTGCCCCTGAAATAAAAAATTTATTATTTATAGGAAAATAATTAAACTATTTTAAATATCGTTTTCAAATGACGCCTTCAAATGCCGCTAAAAATGTGTATTGTGTAATTTGAAAATATATTGCTTGCGATGAAAAACTGTTTTAAAAACCGTTGTATTCGAGATTTAATCCTCTTGAGTTTCTTGAGATGCTATGATAAAGGCTGGAATAAAAATATTTTAAATTTTAATCAATAAAAAACAAAACAATATAATTCATCATTTTGAATGTTTCTTGAAATACATATTAAAGTTGCGGTGGAAGAACCCCCAGCAGTTCACAATTTGGCGTAATTATATCAATTACCTAGGACTATTTTAGGTTAGGTTAGGTTGGAATTATATCAATTACCTAGGACTATTTTAGGTTAGGTTAGGTTGGAATTATATCAATTACCTAGGACTATTTTAGGTTAGGTTAGGTTGGAATTATATCAATTACCTAGGACTATTTTAGGTTAGGTTAGGTTGGAATTATATCAATTACCTAGGACTATTTTAGGTTAGGTTAGGTTGGAATTATATCAATTACCTAGGACTATTTTAGGTTAGGTTAGGTTGGAATTATATCAATTACCTAGGACTATTTTAGGTTAGGTTAGGTTGGAATTATATCAATTACCTAGGACTATTTTAGGTTAGGTTAGGTTGGAATTATATNGGAGGGGTAGTGAGGGGCATACATGACAGTATAGAATCACAGTTCAAATGCCAAATGATCACGAAACTATTAAACAATACAATGAAATAGATAATCATTTGCATTTGCAACTGTTCAAGAGGTACTTCAAGCGCCGAAATGTTCTTCAAATTGAATAAAAATCTGGAAAATAATCTCAACAGTTTTAACCCCTGAATAGTAAAAAATTCTTGTTATATATTATTTACTCGGGTTCCGCTAAACATTATTTTTGAGTGAACCCAAAATATTGCACATCAACTTTAAGGGACAGTCATCTACGAGACTTATTTATGAATCATTAATGCGCAAGAATAAAACACTGAAAATAGATTTTAATCATTATTTTTAAACGTAAAAATTCTACAGAGTAGATAATCCTTCCATAAAACTTGTATTTATCATATTTATCTATATTCAAGGAAAATTCTGAAGACGTGATCTAAAAAACATTCATGCTGGACTTTGGACATTGACAGTTTCCCAAGCTGTTAAACCTTGTGATCTACGACTCATGTGGACAAATTCGGAAAACTAGTTTTTGCAATATTTTAAATCCCAGAGCAGAACTGATAGTAAAAAGAATGATCATGGAGAAATGACAACTGTGTACAAATCTAAATGTATTTTCACTGAATGGATTTAGCGTAGGCGTGATAGATAGATATCTGAGGTGGACATAGGACAATGCCTGGTCAGGTACAATGCCGGAATACAAAATAATGCCGGTTCATTTTACCCACTCTTGACAATATCGTCAGATTTATGCTCATGTCTAAGATAAGATCAAACTGGACATGAACCCCCGCAATATCCTACATGCAGCTGTTCATTCATCACCTTCTCCATCCTGTTCCTTCTCATATATTCTTCATCATTTACTTTCTCCAGCATGAACCTACTCCTAACCTTCTCCATCCTGTACCTTCTCCTCACCTTCTCCATCCTTTACCTTCTCCTCACCTTCTCCATCCTGTATCTTCTCCTCACCTTCTCCATCCTGTATCTTCTCCTCACCTTCTCCATCCTGTACCTTCTCCTTACCTTCTCCTCACCTTCTCCATCCTGTACCTTCTCCTCACCTTCTCCATCCTGTACCTTCTCCTCACCTTTCCATCCTGTATCTTCTCCTCACCTTCTCCATCCTTTACCTTCTCCTCACCTTCTCCATCCTGTACCTTCTCATCCCCTTCTCCATCCTGTACCTTCTCCTTACCTTCTCCATCCTGTATCTTAAATTCACCTTCTCAATCCTGTACCTTTTCATCACCTTCTCCATCCTGTACCTATTCATCACATTCTCCATCCTGTACCTTTTCCTCACCTTCTGCATCCTGTTTCTTTTCCTCACCTCCTCCATCCTGTACCTTTTCATCACCTTCTCCATCCTGTACCTTCTCCTCACCTTCTCCATCCTGTACCTTCTCCTCACCTTCTCCATCCTGTACCTTCTCCTCACCTTCTCCATCCTGTACCTTCTCCTCACCTTCTCCATCCTGTACCTTCTCCTCACCTTCTCCATCCTGTACCTTCTCCTCACCTTCTCCATCCTGTACCTTCTCCTCACCTTCTCCATCCTGTACCTTCTCCTCACCTTCTCCATCCTGTACCTTCTCCTCACCTTCTCCATCCTGTACCTTCTCCTCACCTTCTCCATCCTGTACCTTCTCCTCACCTTCTCCATCCTGTACCTTCTCCTCACCTTCTCCATCCTGTACCTTCTCCTCACCTTCTCCATCCTGTACCTTCTCCTCACCTTCTCCATCCTGTACCTTCTCCTCACCTTCTCCATCCTGTACCTTCTCCTCACCTTCTCCATCCTGTACCTTCTCCTCACCTTCTCCATCCTGTACCTTCTCCTCACCTTCTCCATCCTGTACCTTCTCCTCACCTTCTCCATCCTGTACCTTCTCCTCACCTTCTCCATCCTGTACCTTCTCCTCACCTTCTCCATCCTGTACCTTCTCCTCACCTTCTCCATCCTGTACCTTCTCCTCACCTTCTCCATCCTGTACCTTCTCCTCACCTNCCCCCTGTCCATCCATCCTCCCTCCCTCTTACTCCTCACTTCTCAGCTGATAAAAACTTTATTTATATTGAGAAGGAGAAATGGGCACTAAATCAACTCCTTTAAAGGCAATGATTTTATTAGACTTCTAAATTATGACACGGTCCGTTTATGTATTGTATCTTGAATCAAGGGACGGAGCAGGAAGTAAGTTTACCAAAACCTGTTTAATTTATGGTTTGCAGTTCTCCATGCAGCCTGCAGGTCCGGGTGAACCTTATTAACCCTGTGAACAGATCCTAGAATCTATGCATGCTAAATGCAGTTCAGAGAAAACAAGTTTCAGAATTAAATCTGGTGACTTGCAGACACCCTCTCTTAGAAGAGATGATATTTATCTAACGAATTGGATAGACCTTGTATAAAACATTTAAATAATTCTTTGAAAATAAAATTTTCCAGCTTTTAACCGATTCCTGGATTCCAGTAAATATGTTTCCAATCACATAACAAAATCTTAGAATCTAAACATATTTTGAATAACGCAGAACTATAATTAAATTCTTAAGAATATTTTTATTATGCAAAGATACGCAAGCTGACTGCGGCCTTAAATATCTTTAAAAAAAAACATTTTTCACGTCAGCAGATTATGAACATAAATATATATATATATATATATATATATACAACATTAATGCACTTGAGACTCATAAAGTTCAACACAAGCTTTTATTAATTGATGCCTGTAATAAAACATTCATTCCATCCCTAGTGTTAAACCAGTTTATAAACTGTATCATAATCAGAAGTGATGGTGTTCTAAATGGAAGAGATTATACTATTATTGCAAAGATCTATCAAGGAGTATATATTGTGCAAATGCAAATTAAAGATCAAGATCATGTTTTTTTGATAAAGAGACCAGGTGGGACCAGGTGGCGTGAGTTGTTGAAAAAGTTCAAGTGGAGCCAAAAACTATAGTTACCCAGTAACCCTTAAAATCAAAACTTTGAACCTTAAATTCAATCCTGTATTGTAGCCACGTGGATTTAACGGTTCTGTCAATATTCCAGAAAGCTGTGACTTTCGATCACAATTTGACTCATTAAACATAATTTGTAAGCCGTTTTTCTTAAATACTGTTTTGTCGGCATATGCATTTTGAATAAAAAAGTATAGAATAAAAAAATCCGTAAAGTAAATGAAAAAAAAAACACGTTTGATTTCAAGTAGAAGAAACCGAATGCTGGTTAGTCCGGGGTGTAGCGTTTACATAATACGTAGCGACCAGCTAAATTTTTATAAATATTTTGAGCAAAACCTTTAAACAGATTAAATTGAGGTTGGAAAATTGTTTTCCTATTTGGCATTCATTCGTGAACTTAAGTGCTGAAAAGCCATAATCAAGCCAATAAACATCGTATTCAGTTCTAAATAGGATCTACTTTCAAAGTATTTCAGGGTTCTACTCCAAAATAATGATATTTTTCATTATCCTTTCGTTCCAATCCTTTTATGAAACTGATTTTGATTGATTTTTATTTTGATTAAAAGAGCATTATTTGTTACAAATGAAATATCAAAAATCTAATTGAACAGTGCAAAACGAAGCTACTGACGAAGACTGAAATGTTTCAAAAGAATTCAGTCTTTGTCACAAACTTAAATTTTCAAAACCCTATATCTTTGCAACCACTTAGATATAGGGATTAAAAAGTAAGAGTTTGTGTCAAAAACTCAATTCCTTTCCAGGATGATTGCAACCCAAAAATAGAGATATGTGTCGTTTTAAAGCTTGTTTTTTATGTTGAAAATATATATTGATTTTGGCACAACATTTTTTATTTTGACATAAGGCCAAAAAATGAAAGCAATGAGTGAAATCGTTTCACAAATCTTTGGGTCAATCTCTATTGTCAGGAAAATTTTGTGCAGAAAAAAAATTAAGTAAACTTATAAAAATACAATTTTGAAATTCTTGCTATTCTTGTGAAGCCATCAATCCCATCTCTCATTATTACAGCGAATAACAACTCAAGAGTAGAATTAGTAAAATGCAGCGCTAATATTTTCCATAAGAAGAACAGGGCGGTTTTATTCATTCTTTAAAACCTTGGGATTATTTGGTATTATCAAGAATTATATAATTCCAATCTATTCTTCATCATCTACAAATATTTTATTCGTGATTCGATCCTACACCTCGGTGTCTAAATTCATTCATTAATTCACCTAGGCAATATATATATAAGATTGTATGAGATATCTTCATGATGAATTGATTCCATATTTCCATACAGATGAAAATCTTGTAGGTATATTGACCTCTCCCCCCCCCCCCCCCCCCCCACTCTCATGTTTAGATTACCCAATTTTAATCTTGATATTAATTGTATGCAAATTAAATTTGTAATTCCTGGAATGTCCCCCGCCCCCACAATTTACAGAATCCTAGTTTAGAAATCCGTAATGTGCGAATCCACCAAAATGAATTCTCCGAAGAAATCCCGTACTACGGAATAAATAAATCTCGTAAAATCAGATTTCTAAAGATTAAATATGGTCACGTAAACTTGTGTAAGATGAATGTTACAAAGCAGGAATTTAAAGAATACAAGGCGTTGGCTCCAAAATGTTTAATGGTAATCAGCGAGGATGATCCAATGGTTCGAAGATAAATGCCGTAAGAGAAAATTAGAAAAATCAATTTAGCAATTTTCTCTTGTAACTTGCTCTCACCTGATAAAGCTCAAATATAATGCATCCTATGCTCCAAACATCACAGGGTTGGCTCCAACCTAACTCCAGGATAACCTCCGGAGGTCTATAGTGCCTGGTGGATACAACACTGCTGTGGTGCTCCCAGTCGAAGGTGGCGGAACCGAAGTCGATGAGCTTGACCCTAGTGTCGCGCATTCTCCGGATTGCACGTTTGGTTGCGGGACATACCTCTGTGTACCAGTCGGAGCTGAGGAACAGAACGTTCTCCGGTTTAAGATCTGTATGGGTGAGATGGTTCTCGTGCAGAAACTAAAATAAAAACAGGGTGAAAAAAATAGATTTTTTTCTTCATTTTTTTCACGGTCATCTAGTCTTTAATATTTCACACTCCGAATTCTGCTCAAATAACCAAACTTTAAAATATCAAAAGATTGCACCAGAGCCGTATTTAGGGGGAGGGATTAGAATATTAGATTTTGTGGCAAGTAATCTGTAAGAACCCTTCTCTGATTTTAGAAGAGAGAATACAAAACTTGAAAAATTAAGCTTTTAACCTCGATTATCTTAGTTTTTCAGGCAACGTGCTTTGATTCAAAGAATCTGAAAAGACTTGAAACAATTTCCGTTAATTACATGAAATCCGTTCTTTTTAAAAGTACATTTGAAAAAGTTATTTAGGTTTCTTAACCTAATTTTCTAAATTTTCAAATTAGTTAGAAATTAAAAATCCGTGAGTTGCTGCAAGAGACATTCAAAAAACTGAACAGAGAGTACAATCAGCAACTTTCAAGTCAACAAAATCATCTTCATAATAACTCTATATGAGTTCCTGAGGATTAATCAACAATAAACAATAAATAAACAAAAACAATGAAATAATTACAACTTTGAACAAAATTATAGGTAAAATTAGGTAAAATTATTATGCAGTGTGAAAGTGAATAAAGAAGAAAATTTTTAAGAAAACGCACGTTTAAAGATAATAAATTTTAAGAAAATTATTAGAGATCATAATTTTTAAGACAATTATTAAAGATAATAGTCTTTAAAGAAAATTATTAAAGATCATGATTTTTAAAGGAAATTATTAAAGATCATTATTTTTAAAGAAAATAGTTAAAAAATTTAGTTTTTAAAGAAAATTATTATTATGATCTTAAGATCATATTAGTTTTGTTTTCATGAAAGATAATAATATTTATAAAAGTGATTAAAGATGATAATCTTAAAGAGTGAATGAGATCATAGTTTTGATGAAAGTTGATTAAAGATAATAACATTTCTGAAAATTTGAAATTTGAGATTTCGAGATAAAAAGTATTAGTGATCATAAAATCTATAAAGAGTAAGTATTTTTAACTATAAATTATGAAATATTTTCTTATTTATAACTATTATTTATCTGATTTAAAAAAACACTACAATTTTTTAAAGTATATGTTCTAAAATATTAGCTGAGATTGCAAATTTATTTTAAGAAATAATTAATTTATATTTAGTTCGGAAGTGTTAAATATCAGAGATTAGAGTTGTATAAGATTGTTTCAATTTGATAAACTAAATATTTATTCCCCGCCCAACATGTTTATTTTTATTTCAGCGCTAAAAAGTTTCGATCTTTGAAACTTTTGAAACTTTAACCTAATATTAAACCTTGAAAGAATTTTAAGATTTATTGTATCTAGCTGAAGGGCCCAACGTTGCCCGTGGAAAAAAAATTTGAAATATCTTTTAATATTAAAAAAAAACATTTGAAATAAAACGTTCGAATTTTTTTTAGCCTAAAACGCCCCAAAGCCAACCATGAGTGTTAAAATTTTTTTGTTGCTCATTCGGTCCAGCCGTTTGGCCGGCTATAAGCAACATATATATTAATGTCTTGTTTTATTATATAGATTATATTTAACCGTTATGTATTGATGGCAGTATAACAGTATAAAAATATTCCTAATTTTGTACCTCCCTTCTTTAATTATACTTCTTTGTTTAGTGATGCTCTGATCTAATTAATTGCTGATAAACTATCTGGACCGCACTCCCTCCTTACCCCTTATTCACCATACCCCCTCCCTCACTATCCAGTCCCAACCCCTACCTTTACTTTCCCCTCCCTCATTATCTAAACCCCCCATACTTATTATCTAGCCACATCCCCAAATATCCCCCCTCCCTTCCCCTCCCGGCCCTCTTCTTGGTCACAATTCGACCACTCCTCCGTTTCCCTAATAAATATTCAGCTAAAACTTGATTCTATAGTAAGTTGTAAAAAATTGCTCTGCCAAATACAGTTTAACAAGAAATTGATCCAAATTGATAAATAAACCATGAAACTTGATTAATTACAGTTCTTTGATTATTAATCAGGCAAGAAGTAAGAAAAGAGATTGTTCCCTTATCTTAACAGAAATCCTAGCAATAACAAAGGAAGAAGTAAATAAAGAATTATAGTAATTTTTTTAAAATCAACAATTAAAGAAAAAATTTTAAATTCGCCATTTTTTACTGTCTACCTACTTCAAGGACACTTCACACAATATTGATACAATCCAACGTGATGTGGTTCAAACATTTCAAAAATGTAAAAAATTCAAAGTACTCGTTTCTACACTTTTATAATACGAGACGATGGAGTTTATGTTCAATCATTATATACATTCAGAATTTCCAATCCCGATTTCGATATTCGTATTTCACGTTCAAATGTGTATGGAACAAACTTTAAAAACTAAGACATTAGCAAAGATTTTACAGGCATAGTGTTTAATTGTTCTGTACTGCTCACGAGTTGTACAGGTACACTAGTGTATAATTGTTCTGTACTGCTTACGAGTTGTACAGGTACACTAGTGTATAATTGTTCTGTACTGCTTACGAGTTGTACAGGTAAACTAGTGTATAATTGTTCTGTACTGCTCACGAGGTGTATGGTACACTAGTGTATAATTGTTCTGTACGGCTCACGAGTTGTACAGGTACACTAGTGTATAATTGTTCTGTACTGCTCACGAGTTGTACAGGTACACTATAGTGTATAATTGTTTTGTGCTGCTCACGAGTAAACTCTGTTTTTTTTTAATCTAACAGAATCCAAAAATGTAAGTTTTGAATGTAAATATAAATGACAATAGAATAACAGATATCTGACGAGGAGGTGTGATAATATTACCTTGACTGCATATATGAGCTGGTAGGATATATGCCGAACCTGCTCCAAGGGATATCCAACGTATCCATTACTCTTGAGGAAGTCAAACACAGACTCTCCCAGTATCTCGAAGGTGAGGCACATGTGCCCGAAGTAGTTGAAGGAATCAAACATTTTTACACAAAGATGTTTTCCGGACGGATCCTTACTGTTCAGTTTAAGAAGAACATTAACCTCGAGCTTAGCGGCCTCGCGGTATTTGTGAATATTTTTTATAATCTTCATTGCAACATAACTATTATTATCATGATCTTTCACTTTCACTACTTTACCAAAGGTTCCTTCTCCCAGGGTTGAGGTTATCTCATATCTCTCGCTAACCCAATCTCCAGGAAGATATGCTAGATGACCGTCTGTGTTGTCTGTGAGAGGTCGTCTTCTAGCAGGAACTGGGCTAGGAGGACTGTGCAGAGATAGAGAGCTTGATGCTGAGCTGTGAGATGAACTATAGGACGCGGATCCGGTGCTACCGTAGGATCCACTCGGAGCTAAAGGAGGATGTGGCCATTCTGTGATCTTCTCCCGGTTCCTACTCCGACCATTGTTTGATTCTGGAAGAATTTGATAAGCCAACGAGTTGAGTACTAGGCTGGGGGAAGACGGTGTACCACTAGATCCAGTTTTCATCCTCAATTCGTCTCCGGTAGCTCGACCAATAGAGGAAAAGAAGTTTGAGTTCTTGTCTCTGTTGGAGGGGAACCCTGATTTATCAGAGTTGGCAAGGCATGGCATAGAGCTTGTGTGAAGATATTCCTCTGGACCCTTCTTTCTCAGGCTAAACGATCTGAGGAGGGCTCCTTGATCCCCCTTATACGCCATTTGGGTTCTCACGGAGCCGTTTCTAGAGAGATTATAGTTGTAGGCAGAACTATCTCTTCGACCATTGTCAGATTTATAGCTCGGAGTCCTAGATATTCTCTGCTGAGGACAGCCGTCCTTGTGTCCTGGGTTTTGTTTGGAAGGTTTAGTGGTCCTCGGAGATGGTACTGCCGGTCTCCCTCTACTACTTGGAGTTCTTCTCAGCCTAGAAGGAGAATCTGTTTGGGTTTGACTCCGCTCTTTGCTCCGACGGACGCTTGTCAGGGTCTCCTGCTGATAACCTGGAATAGCAGACCGAGAGGATCTTCTTCCTGAAGAAGATCGTCCGAACCCGCCGTAATATTCATCATCATTCCTAGTCCGCTTTATATTAGGACTCTCTCGAGAGAAACTGTTGGAAAATGAGTTGTTAGGTCCCAGAGGCTTGGAGTATGTTGGGTTCTGCTCCTTGTTCTGGTTTAGGAAGACGGATAATCGTGATGTTTGCATAATGGAATTAGAATTATAATTGCTCTTATATTTGTTAATATTATTTAACTGAAGAATACTGGTCTGAAAGCTGTCGGAAGGATCTATCATTGAAAATCTCCGACTCAGGCTCTTATGCCTGCTTAGATTGGAGAACTGATTACTTTGCAGCTTCTTCTCATTCTCGTAGACAAGGTTGACAAGCTGCTTATCTGAGCTGCTACTGCTACTGCTACTACTGTTGCTGAGGTTTGGATGATTGAATCGTCTGCTATCAGCTCTGGACACCCTTATTTTAGCAGTCAATATGATTTGAGTTATTGTGATTTGAAATTAAATAAATTTAGGTTATTAAAAAGTTGATTGAGATAAAACTGTAAAAATATTGACTCCTGCCTGGGATGAACCTCTGCGGGAGTATCCAAGCAAACTCTGAGGACGGATTCACTCTTAACGTTGTAGTTTCTAGGTCTGAGGTTCCCATGGGCAGTGTATGCCATGCTGTGCACCCAGGTCTGATGTACAGGGGGGTTTGCTGTCTCAGGGGGCTGTAGACCTTTCCGTCTCACTCATCCTGGATACACTCATCGACCCCGTCAGCGTAGAGAAGCAGAATACTGCCCTTTGTTCATTAGTAGTGAGCACTCATACACTCGCAATACTTCGGATTGGGCTAAGTTTAATCAGGACGGGACGGATATCAAGGAGGGGAACTAGAATATAAACATGTGTGTCTCTCTCTCCCATCTCACCCCGCTCCCCTATGCATACAAGACAACACTAAGTACTAACCCACCCAGACCCAACCCAACCCGACTGAATAGTTACTCGTAAAAACAACCCCTGCAACGATCCATAACACGCAACAGGGTAATAAATACTTTTCAAACTTTATTGTTTCAATCTTAATTTTTTTTAAATCTTAAAATGGAAAAAATATGTTTTAAACTTTTATATTTTAAAAAAAAATATCTGAAATTATTAGATAGAAATTACATAATCCTTTGTTTTAAAAAACAAAAACCCCTAATTCCCATTTGGTTCAGCCGTATAAGATAACTATTAATGTATGTATACTGTACATATTTATAGATATAGATAATGGATGAAATATGTACGAATGCTTTGATCATGCTGAACCTAAAAAGGTTTATCACTCACGTCCTGCTCACTGTTTTAAGCCATGCCTGTCATCCCGTTAGAATAACGAAGCTATAGTCTGCAGCAGTAGATCCACCTTATTTACTTAAAGGGACTGTTGACCTAAATTCACGTGACTCCCCATTATATAGTCTGATTCACAACGGTACCATTTGAACTTTTGTCTGATCAAGGATGTCGGATAAATCTTTGTTTTAAATTGTGATTTCTCTTTAAAAGTAACTCGCGGATTTGCAGCAAAGACAATTTGATGAGAAGAAAATGGAAAGAAAATAATACTTTTAAAGAAAGATAATCCTTTCCTATTGTTTCTCAGATAAATTTTGTCTAAAATCTCTACTATTCAAATAAGAAGTTCATAGTAATGTTTGATTACAGTGACTGGTTTGTATATTTATTCATGTAGAATTAAGTGTCGCCATTGTTTTATCGAACAAAAACTCTGGTAAGAAAATATCTGTAGCGTGAAATAAAGGATTTATTCACTGATTAAACTGGATTCAATGAATCAACAACAAAAAAACATTCACATCTGGTCAGATTCTAGGTTTAATTGATTTAATCATGGGAGCTCAAGGACGAACCCAAAAGAAAGTCAAAACGGGTTTCGATTTCCGAACGATACCAAAGTTTCCAACAACAAAGACTTGATGACAAAACTATCATAGCAATAATGAAAGAAAATAAAAATGAGAGTGAGAGAAATAGAAAGAGAAAGTGAGAAAATTCAGAGTTCAGAAAGAGTTTAGAAAGCAAAAGTAAACCACAGAAGAAAAGAATGGCGTAAGAGCGTGTTAGTAACGACCGGAGAAAGAAGTACCCTTGATTTAACCCTGATACTGGCAACACGATGAGTCAGGTTAGAAGCTTGTGAGAAGCCCTGTAACTGCAACACTTGTCATTGCGCGGATAAAGGCGTTGATATTACTTCCTGGTCTGTGGGAGGCTCTTGTCACACCTTGTGTTATGAGAATACCACACACACACTTTTTTCTCTTCTCTTACATACATCTTTCAGAAACCAGAGTAGATCGAGATGGAAAGAAAATGGGGTTAATAAACCAAAGTTTAATAATTGAAATGCATAAACATATTACTATCATACTGTTAACAGGGTTTTCTACATTTAGTTATGGTGTGTCTTATTACAGGCGAGCTATCATTAAATAATATTATATTCCATCTTTAACTGGTTCCATATATGGGAGTAGGGCCTGAAACTAGGCCTACTTACCTGTCAATCTTATTCAATCCTTGAATACTGAGATCCTTAGATCCTGCCAGATACACAATATATCATGATTTACTAATTCAGACATTAGTTTAGTCAGAACATCAGGATAACGGGATCTTACACACAACATTTTATAGAAATGGCTTGGATAGCAGAATACAGGAGGGAGAGGACTCATAATACAGGTTGAGAGAACACAGAATACAGGGAGGAGAGAACTTAGAATACAGGTTGGAGAGAACACAGAATAGAGAGAGGAGAGAACTCAGAATACAGGTTGGAGAGAACATAGAATACAGAGAGGAGAGAACACAGAATACAGGTTGGAGAGAACACAGAATACAGGGAGGAGAGAACTCAGAATACAGAGAGGAGAGAACTCAGAATACAGGTTGCAGGGAACACAGAATACAGGAGGAGAGGACACAGAATACAGGGGGAGAGAACACAGAATACAGGGAGGAGAGAACTCAGAATACAGGGGGAGAGAAGAACTCAGAATACAGAGAGGAGAGAACTCAGAATACAGGTTGCAGGGAACACAGAATACAGGAGGAGAGGACACAGAATACAGGGGGAGAGAACACAGAATACAGGGAGGAGAGAACTCAGAATACAGGGGGAGAGAACTCAGAATACAGGGTGGAGGGAATAAGAATACGGGTTGCAGGGAACACAGAATACAGGGAGGAGAAAATACAGAATACAGGGTGGAGGGAATAAGAATACAGGTTGCAGGGAACACAGAATACAGGGAGGAGAGAACATAGAATACAGTTTGGAGTGAACACAGAATACAGGGAGGAGAGAACACAGAATACAGGGAGGAGAGAACATAGAATACAGGTTGGAGAGAACACAGAATACAGGGTAGCAGGATCACAGAATACAGGTTGCACGGAACACAGAATACAGGTTGAAGAGAACACAGAATACAGGTTGGAGAGAACACAGAATACAGGTTGGAAAGAACACAGAATACAGGTTTGAGAGAACACAGAATACAGATTGGAGAGAACACAGAATACAGGTTGGGGAGAACAAAGATAACAGACTGGAGAGAACCATAGATCATTGTACTTTTTGAAGGATTGACTTTGTACTTAGATTTGAGAAAACCCTAGCCGAAGAATAAAACGAAGAATTCAGAACATTTGTTTTGGATATTTAGACAATTTGCAAGAATGGAAAACGCCCATATATCTTGTCATTGATAATATTAATTTAAACCCGAACCATTTATCTCATATTCATTGTCCAGTGTCCCCTGTTATGGTGAACTTTTAATTCATTCTAAGTATTTATCCTACAATTCTATAATCTTAGATCTATTCTAAAAAAGTTTATTATTCATTCTGCGCTATTCTTTTTATTCGAATTTTCCTATTAATCAAAAATAAAAGGTTGATTCCTCAAATCAGCAGAATCTAGCAATCTTTCTCCGTATCTGAGTTAAAGTTGAACTTCAAGGTTCGCTACTCTCCATCTAGTTTAATGATTCAAATATCGTGGTTCGGGGTGCATCAATCAGAGCTCAGGGAGAACAAAGAAATCTTGAACCTCGCAATATTAACTCCCACGCATACAAATAATAAACAGGATAGATTCGAGTATTGTCAATCTAATCTTTAACCACAAATTTCATGGCAATCCGTTAGGATAAGGATCCTGTACCTTAAATGTATAGACCTGTTTCTTTCTATGAGATGACAGAATGTGAGGAGAGGGGTGGAGCCTATTATACAAGGATTATATTGGGTTAGGGGAATAGGATGGTATAGGAGGGGAGTAGGATGGTATAGGAAGGGAGTAGGATGATATAGGAGGGGAGTAGGATGGTATAGGAGGGGAGATGGTTTATGGGAGGGGGAGGGTACAGATAGAGATGGAAAATGGGAGAGGTAGGTGAAGACGGTATATGGGAAGGGGGAGACACTGATGGAGTGGAAAATGGGAGGGGGAGGTGAAGACGGTATATGGAGGGTGGAGACTCAAATAGAGATGAGAAATGGGAGGGGGAGGTGAAGACGGTATTTGGGAGGGTGGAGACTCAAATAGAGATGAGAAATGGGAGGGGGAGGTGAAGACGGTATATGGGAGGGTGGAGACTCAGATAGAGATGGAAAATGGGATGGGGAGGTGAAGACGGTATATGGGAGGGTGGAGACTCAGATAGAGATGGGAGTAATAATGATGAAAGGGGCTAAACATTGGCTTCTAAATAGAATTTTTGGATCTTTTTGTATTCCATAGCAGAATTCAGAGGTGTTCGAAATCAGGTTGNTATTTATTTCTATTTTTTTGTGGAGATATTTAAATTGATCCAGACATATTCTCCACAACACAAAGCAAACATCTGATTCAATCTTTATCTAAATGTGTACAATACATAATGTAAGCCACACATACTGTTTAATACTTTAATATTTTATATATAACAGTTAACCCCCCAACAACTCGCACTATTATATTACAAATTTCAGGTCCAATTATCTTTCAAGTTTTTAAATGCTTATAGAAATTACTTTTTGCTTGCTTCTATGCTTTACTCATCTTTTGGCAATACCTGATTCACAACGGTACCCTTGAACTGATCAATAATGTGGAAGATTTTGTCGTTTTTCTAGGTTTAAAAATGTTTATTATGATAATTCTTAAACGTTTTTCGGCAGGAGAAATTCACAAGAACCCTTTGAAGAGAAACCTTTATTAAAAATAATCAATTTTCAAAACGATGAATCATAAATATATTATTTTCATACTTGATGAGAAAAGCTTTTATACGGGTACCATTGTGAATCTTGCCATCTTTGCATGGAGGGTCACTTGTAATTACGTTTACTGTCCCTTTCATAGCGTTCATACTGACAACGGATACAGATACTTTATATTTGCACTTTCCTGAAATCTGAACTAAATCACCACCTACTCAAATTTTCCTGAAATCTGAACTATATCACCACCTACTCTAGTTTTCCTGACTATATCACCACCTACTCTAATTTTCCTGAAATCTGAACTATATCACCGCCTACTCTAATTTTCCTGAAATCTGAACTATATCACCCACTACTCTAATTTTCCTGAAATCTGAACTATATCATATCCTACTCTAATTTTCCTGAAATCTGAACTATATCACCACCTACTCTAATTTTCCTGAAACCCTAACCTCTAGTTAAAGTTGTTTTGTTGCCAACTCTACGGGAATTAATATATTTTTAGTGTTGAGCAGTGCTACCAGGATTCATCTTGTCTACATGTCTATAGTTTCAAGGTGTGAACTAAAAACTACAGGATCTTATCTCCGGATACATATCCTGTGTAACTGCTCAGTGCACATTGAGTAGGATGTCACTTTTTACAATTCAATTTA